CAGCCATGCAATCATGAAAATAACTCGAGAAACATTGATCGATCACGCTGAAGATCGCGTAACTGTGACCGAGATCGAGTATCGAAACGCTTAACAATAAATACCGTGCCAAATATCGTCGTTATAATCAAAGAATGCATCAGTCCAGCCGGTGTTAAAAATCGAAAAAAATAAAAAAAAAATAAAAAAATAAAAATAAAAAAAAGGGAGAAAAAAAAAAATATGAAACACTACTGCGATGAATCGTGAATCTTCCGTTCTTCCCAATAATTTACGTCAAGGCTGAATCGACGATCCCTCGTTCCTCTTCCACCTCTACATACGCGTTGTAGTACAGTGTAGCGAGCAAATGGGGTGCATCGTAGCCCAAAAAGCGGCGAACGTGTAGTATGCAATAATATTCTGTATAAAGAGTTTGGATTTTATATGTATCGTGAGCAATGGTGTGTAAGAAGATGCACGAAAACTATCCTTTCGATTCTCTTAAAGCCCCTCCTCACCCTACCCACCCCCATAAAGAATCGAGTGTTTCAATTTAAGAAATCGTAAAGCGTAAAAATCCCCGAATTGCCCTTGAGAGTCGAAGATCGATGGGAAAGAATCGATGACTAATCAAAATTGACAATCAAATGAAAGAAAGATGATTCGTAACAGTGGAAAAATTAAAGGAAGAATAATGATTGAAGAAAAAAAATAATTGAAGGTGTTTTTTCTCTTTTTTAAGTATATCGTTGATCATGAATGATTATTGGACTCTCGAGTGCGATTCTTCCACACGAGGAAAGCGAGGATTGTGTCGAATCGAAGAGGGGGATCGAATTGTTCGATCTTCGTGTAGAGATCGATGCACCCTCGTTTATGCTTTGCTATGTGCTAGCTATTTATGCGAGAAAGATATTATTATATTATACAATGTACACAGTAACCGTGGCTGAAGCTCCAAATCAAAATGCACAGATCTAGATACGAGTGTCGATCATCGATACGTGCAATTGCGTTCTCGATGGGGATGCTCGTTGAATAATTCTTTTTTTTTTTTTTTTTTTTTTTAATACTTTTAAGCGATGTTGTAAAGCGAAGGCGTTAATCAAGGGTCAAAATTAAAGCAGGCGGTGGACAGGCGGGAAACACACGATTTTTTCAATTCGTTGATTAATAAAGAGAAATTTGAGATGAAATAGAGAATTTACAATAATCGTCAGAAAGTTTTCGCTTTGCAAAAATTTATCGTTCCTGCTTGATGTAACAAAAATCAAAAGCAAGTGATAATTAAACGATCAAATGATAGGACTGGACATTCTTCTTTAAGATAATTAATTTATAATGAATTAGTTTCTTATCGGTGTTCTTTGACATTTAACATTAATCATTTAGAATTACATAATGAAAGAATGTTGAAAGAAGATCGATCAGAGATATTTCGATCTTTCCACAGAATGTTAGTTAACAAAAAAGAAATGGCTAATTACAATAACAATTATTACGAATCTAGTCCTATTTCTTTGTATCAAGAATTCTCAATTTTTTCCAAATTGAGCAAATCCTTCGAATGATTTTGAAACTTTTCATCAAATGTTTGATATTCACACTTATAAAAAAAAA